ACACAACAGAAGTTCTCTCTCTCTCTCTCTCTCTCTCTCTCTGTCTGTGTCTCTCTCTCTCTGAGCTGGCATGAGTTTGGCTTGTTTTTCTGGAATCGGTGAGGACTGGCACTAACACAGCATTACATCAGCCGCCAGCACATCATTTACCAACAGCACGCCTGTTTCCCCTCACAGAGGAATGTTGTGGGAAAAAATCATGTAAACAGTGACTTTAAGAGGTCACAGCTTTTAATATGAATTTATTGCACATGTCCTGGCTTCACATCGGTTTGATGTTATCATGGGTCTTTTTTAGCTTTTTATTTGAAATGTACATTTCTCATTATTTATTGTAACAAAAAATACTTTATAATTTTATTTTATACTTTATATTACACTTTCATACTATTAGTTTAGATTTTATTATGCTCCAAAAACAATTACAAGACATAACTTAAAATTTGACATCATTTTTGAATGCCACAAAATTTGGAGCAACTTAAATCGCTCAGTGCTGTAAATCAGTCCGCCCTTTCACTGAAACCGGAACTACTTTCATATCACACCGCAGACTCGCTCTTTCTTTCAAACAAACGAAACTTTCACCAAATTGCATCTCAGTTATCGTTTGTAGTGAAAATGACCTTGGAGGAATTCAGTATTAATATAACTGTCATATTGTAGCAGTATTTGCATATGATTGTTTTTACAATGTAACGGACTATTTCTTTTAGCGGAAGCTTTAATGTACAGGTAAGATTATGGAATCAACTCACATGCCTCCACATGCAGTGTGATAATGTGTGGAGTGATCAGCTGTGCGTCAGCCCTGCTCTGTGATTGGCTCGTTAGGGTAACGAAGGTTAGGGTGACTTTATGTTCGCTGAGGATAAATATAGCAGGTTTCATATGGCTGAGCTCTAGCTGTGCACATGTGAAGCACATTGCAGAATCAGTGTGTTTCCTGACGCTCTTTCATCTGTTTCAGGCTCAATGCCACAACAAAGACCAACATTTCCATTGTGAGTATTAATTACAGCGAAGCTTCCGGCACTCAACTTATAGCTCATTAAAGACACTTATTTGCCAGAAAAAGTCATTACAGTCTCTAGTTTTAGTTTAGCTTGGAACGCCTACTGTTATTATCTCAAGTTATATCGGTTATGTCTGGCCTCAAGAGGCTGTCATTATCTTGATAAACAGTGATTTGAATGTAAGGTGTCCTGCTCATCAGAGCACAATAATAGCCTTCAAAGCAAACAGCAGCTATATTCCAGCAGAAACACAATCAAACCTTTTAATATAACGCTGCCTGCACTCACCTCCAAAGCCATAGATATGATCTTCTTCTTTTGCATATCTTTGAATATTTCTTCTGGTTTTTATTTTAAATCGTGACAAACCAGTGCTGATCTGAGGAGGTCAGAGATGGTATTTTCCGCTGGAGGATGTGTTTGGGAAACAGTGGCCGTCTGTTACTTTTAAAAGTAATGCATTACAATATTGTGTTACTCCATAAAAAGTAACTAATTGTGTTAGTTACTTTTTATGGTTGGTAATGCATTACAATATTGTGTTACTCCATAAAAAGTAACTAATTG